AATGAAAATGTTTGATAGCTTAGCTCGTAGCTTGCTTTTTAATGAATATTCAATCACTAATTTCAGCTCGTTAAACTTAACAAGCTCAACGAGTGAGTTTCACGAGCAACTCCTCCGATAGTCATCATACTCCTTCATAAAAATTACACCCACACTCTGACCTCATGGGCCGTAAGGCCCGCAACACATCGTAGTTTGGTAATGAGCACTCGCAAGCTTAACGAGCTTTAAATGAACATAGCTTAACAAAGTTTTTTTCTTCTCTCGTTAACAATCTTAACGAGTCAAGACTTAACGATTAGGAGCTAAACGAGCTGAGACTTAACTAGTCAAGTAGCTTAGCACTCAGAACCATGAGGAAACAAAAAATATGCCCCCAATGAAAGCAAAGGGAAGCCAGCGGCACTGAGGAGGAAACCAGAACATGCAAAACTTTATTTGAGACTCCCTCCTCCCCCCTTTTCCCAAAAGTGAAGCAAGCAAGCAACACATTACAAAAAGATAGGATGAGATGAGATGAGATCATAGCATATGGATACATGGTAATTCTGCCCCATCTACAAAAGGTTGGCCCAGCATTGCTCATAAGTAGCACCCCAGCCTTTCCTTAAGCATGCATGTGGGAGGGAGACCTTTAATTAGCTTAAAGCCATGAAGATTTGCAGCAGCATCAAGCACATTGTATTGTTAATTAATCTAACTACAAGGAAAAGCACACTTTATCATTTTGTTAATGAAAAAGAAATAGCCCAAAGGGCAAAAGAACTAGCATTACTCACTTTATCATTTTTCATTTACAGCAAAGAAAAGAGTCCAAAAGAACTAGTACTGGTTGGGAATGAGCAGGCAGGCAGGCAGAGGGGCCAAGAGCTTCACGCTCTCCCACACTCCCCACTCCACTCCACTCCCCCCCATCCCGCTATTCCGCGTGCTCCCCGTAGCCTTTTTCCTGGTGGTTTCATTCCCCACCCTCCTCCCCTGATCCGCCGGCCGCCGGTTCTCGGCCGCTCCGTGTCCGCTCCTCGGAGGAGGATTGGTTCTTGGCAGAGACGAGGTGGGTGTTTCTTCTTCCTTCCCAAAGAACGAATTGATTTGCTTCCCCTTTTAGCTGTTTATAGTCCTTTTGCTCGCCGACGACGCGCCACCCTCCTGACTTGATTCGATCCGCAGGACAGCCAGGGGGAAGGAAAGGTGGTGGTGGCGGGTTCTTGTCCACTCCGCCTCCGAGTTGAAGTTGAATCTCCCCGTCCGCCGACCCAATCCGCCATCTTTTTCCTCCGCCGGAAAAGGACCCCCCGCCGTACTCGCGCGGCGGACCGACCTCCGCCAATTAATCCTCGCGCCGTGGAGCAAAGGGGTCGTTCCTTAAGTCCCCGGGCGGAATCCAAGGAGACCCGGCATCCGGTCGGTCGGTCGGAAAGGTAAAGAAAAGGGGGCCATGATCCCGCTTCTGTTCCTGGTGCTGTTCGCGGAGGGCGCGGTGGCGCTGCTGCTCATGGTCAAGATCGGCCCGCTGCGGGAGCTGGCGATGCGGGGCGTGGAGCAGGTCAAGACCGGCAAGGGCCCCGCCACCGTCAAGACGCTCGCCTGCACGCTCTCCGTCATCCTCATGTCCAGCGTCGCCGCCATCGTCAGGATCCAGAACAGGGGCCACAAGATCGGCAACGTCAGCCCCATGGACCAGGTGCTCTGGCGGACGCACCTCCTCGAGGCTTCCCTCATCGGTCAGCTCACACCTTCTTTCCCCGATTCATTTCTTACTCCCACAGCACCAGATGTCTCTACTAGTTCTTGATTTGCTGATAGCAATACTAGTTAGCATTGGGATAGTGGTGGTGGCTGCTGCTTAGTTGCTGAAGGGGCCGAGCAACTACTAGTTAGCAACCACTAGTCATTTCGGATGCTTTCGCCTTTTGTCAAGTATACAGAAAAGTGTTGTTATACCAATCTGTACTTTAGAATGTCCAATGCATCTGCTATTAAGTTCTATATATCCTCTCTCAAGATTGTGTGTTTAGCATTTCGGATCCGACCAATTATTTGCAGTTCATTCTAGGAGTATGTAAATTACAGTGTAAATCACGCGTTATGGACTACAAGCAAGAATTTGCTGCTTAGGTTGTCAAGGGGGTGGCTTTGGAGATGAAGGTGCCATTTTCGATGCTTTTTTCGTGCTCGTAGATCTATAATTCCACTTTTTACTTTAGAATAGGCCATGAACAATGCGCAAACTAAATGTAGTCTCAAGTCCTAGCATGCATGTTTGCGAATCCACTTGGTAGCTTATAGTTCCGATATCGCAGTCTGTAACATGTGCATTTTCTATCTCAAACTAGAAATCCAATACAAAACTGCAGTCTGATTCTGTAGTTGAAGAATCCTGTTATTATATTTATATGTGTCTGTAGCATTAGTCCTTCATGTGCTGTTGGTCAACTGGTCAAGAAATATTATATTGTAGTGGCCTGGGTTGACTACAATAGGAGCTGATATTGCTTAGGCTTGCATCAGATCTATGTTCCTTTCTTGCTTGGTGGGAGTTTGGACGGTATATTCGGTGAATTCTTAGCTGGAAGTAAGCTGTCCAGGGACAGATCTGCCTTGATTAATGGCATGCTATACTATGCCTTGATTAGCATCCTGTCCTCTATAAGTGAGAATTGGACAAATAGTTTTGTAAAGGTTTTTGATGTACTGAATAAAGGGTTATATCCGACCAAATTTGTCTCGGATCTTACCATACATGTTTGTCAATCCACTTGGTATCTTATAGTTACAGAAATTTCATTCTGTAACTTGTGCATTTTCAAACTCAAACTGGAAACCTAATGCATAACCGCAATCTGATTCTATAGTTTTAAAAAATTGTTATTCTATTTACATGTCGGTAGCATTGGTCTTCCATGTGATGCTGGTCAACTGATTAAGAAATATTATATTAGGGATCCCATTATATTATACAGGCCTGGGCTGGATACAATAAAACAGGAACTGGTATTGCTTAGGCTTGCATCAGCTTATGCTGCTTTCATGCTTGATCGGAGTTTGGCTGACAGATTCTTAGCTGAGAGTAAGCTGTCTAGAGACAGATCTGCTTTGATTAATGGCATGCTATATTATGCCTTATAATAACGTCACGCCCACTATAAGTGAGGATTGGGCAAATAGTTTGGTAAAATGTTCAGGCTTCTGATGCATGGAATAAGGGGTGTGTGACGTATGTCAAAGGCCACGCTTATCTTAACTATAGAGCCTCTAAATGTTGCAATTAACTATACTGTTCACTTGCTGGTTTCTGTTATGCAAAACTTCAGTGTGCTGCTCTTGGTGCTTTCAATATGTTCAGCGTTGAGAAACGTGAACCGAGTGGAAGAATCTATGTTTTAGGTAGCAGGCTAAAAGCCTAAAAGGGACAGGTTAGCATAAGTAAGGGCAATAGTAGACATGTAAAGTTTAGATAGGCAACTATCTTACTCGAGCATACTTGGGAGTCCTTATTAAAGTTTAGATCGAGAAACGGGACTTGAAGATAAGGTGCATTTTACTTTTACAGAGAACAGCTTACCTTTTTAGCAATTGTTGTACTTGCATTATAAATCTTATACTTGCAACTTGGAAATAATACTGTTCTTGCATTATAAATACTGTTCTTGCATTATAAATCTTATACTTGCAACTTGGAAATAATGATCTTCAAGGTAGGCAGTTCCAGTTAATAAAATTAAGGCATTTTATAATACTGTTCTTGCATTGATCTTCAAGGTAGGCAGTTGCAGTTAATAAAATTAAGGGATAATTCTTGTCATGCAAACAGATAGCAACTTCAGTATTGGTTTTCATGATTCACTGAATTTGGAATTTAGGGCCTGTTGAAAACGGATTCTGGCGCAGTTGCACTAATAATTATGATACAATGTGTATTTTGTGTGAAAGTCTGAAGTCATGGTGTACCCATTTGGACTTGGTATATATGATTTGGGTCTATACAGGTGGAGGATTTGTTGAATCTGCAGTATACTTTATCCAGACAACTATAAAGGGGGGTTGTTGGTCTAATTTGATGAATTAACTAGGAACCAGTAACTAATCATACCAGCTAGTTTCAAGTGAAATGCACGGCATTTCATCCAAAATTTTAAGCTGCTAGTCCAGTGTGGTAATTTTCGTTCTTGGACATTGGGGGTCAGAACTAAAATGTCGAAAGGTAGGCCTCAAAAATCACTTCCTAAAAGATTTTATTTTGAGCAGTTGGCATGGGATATTAAAGGCTGTAGTTTGACGGGAATGTAGAATACATTCATTTTTATCGATATTGATACTGAATTGGAATACCAGATCTTTATTCAACCTTCTAACAGCTCATCGCTCATTGCAGGATACACACTATTCCTCGCGTTTGTCATCGATCGGTTGCACCACTACCTTCAGAAGCTCATCACCCTGAGGAAATCAGCCAACATCTCCAGGGAAGAGGTCGAGAAGCTCCAAATGGAGAACCGGTCCTTGCGCGAGAAAGAGGAGAAGTCGGCCAGCGAGATGAAGAAGCTTCAGCAGGACATGGCCAAGCTGAGCGAGGACATGAAGAAGCTGAAATCCGAGTCCGAGGATCACCAGAGGAAAGCGTCTGATGCGGAGGCCCACGTCAACGCGCTGCAGAAGCAGTCGGAGGAGCTGCTCCTTGAGTACGACCGGCTGCTGGAGGACAACCAGATCCTGCAGTCCCAGCTTCACTACAAAGGCTGAACTGGTTGACCTGCGGCGTGTAACTGTCTCGAACTCGAAGCGCTCATCGCCAAGGCTCTTGATGTGGTTCCTGGCTTTCATTCCCCTCTCTAACTTATGGTGATATGGATGGATGTACTCTGTGCTCTGTAGTTTGTTTTGAGGCACTGAAAAAGTCAGGGATGGTGAGATGGATATGGGAGAAAGATCGGGTTTCGAAATGCGCTTTGTAGTACTGATTAGACCATGTGTTGGAATGCAGTAACTTATCCCCGATTCTCGCAGAGATTTTGAACTGTATTCTAGTATAACATGTCACCGTGTTTTTGGAAAAGGAAAATTGTTTTTTTTGTTAAGAAGGCTTGCATCTTTTCAAGAGTTGCACTTCTTACCAAAAATAACCTCCCTTTTTCAATTGTAGTACTGTTTTCCTTGCATTAGAGATCTCCTTATGATTTGGAAATCATGGAGTGCAAACTAGGGCAGTTGCAGCTAATAAAATCAAACATGATTTAATTTTGGTTTTCATGATTCGCTGGAGTTGGGATCTAAGGCCTGCTTACAACTGAATCAGTTGCAGTTGAAGTAATTATTTCATGGGAAAGTCTGAACTCATGGTGTACCATTGGACTTGGTATATGGGTCTGTACTCTGTAGCATACAGTGTACTGTATCCATACAAGTGCACAAATATTCCTTCAAATTAAAGTTCATACATAGGAAGATTCAGAACTAAAATGATGAAGACGGACCTCCAAAGATTATTTCCGGGCATAAAGGATATACTTTGATGAATGCAGAACTCCATTTTCCCCCATATGTCTAATACACTACTCCCTCCGTCCCATAATATAAGAACGTTTTTGACACTATACTAGTGTTAAAAGCGTTCCTATATTATGGGACGGATGGAGTAATATATTGTCCTCTATCAAACAATAAGTAGAGTAGAATACACATTCATAGTTAAACCTGGCACCACACTTCTAACAGCTCATCGCTCCTAGCAGGACACACACTATTCCTTGCATTTGTCATCGACCGGGTGCACCAGTACTCCAGAAGCTCATTACCCTGAGGAAAGCAGCCAACACCTCCAGGGAGGAGGCCGAGAAACTCCCAATGGAGAATTGGTCCTTCCGCGATGAGAAGTCGGATAGCGAGATCAAATGAACTGCTTTAGGAACTCGGTTGCCACCAGCCGGCCACGTGTGTTCACCGACAGCTTCAGCTCGCTGATCTCCTTGTCAATGTCCTACAACACGAAGATGCATATGTGTGTCAAAGCATGTCCAAGACCGGCAACACTTTATGGGCAATTTTTTTTAGCTCTACTGTGAAAGAAAAACATGATCGTGAGTCTTCTGCATTTTGTTCTTCTTCACTTGTAAAACGGGCAATCCAAGACTGGCAACACTTTATGGGCAATCACCAAGCTGGGCGCACAGCCATTTCATGATAGATGTACTCTAAAATTATTTGTATAAGGGATTCATTTGTGATTTCAGTACAAACTGCTGAGTGCTTATTTTACATAGAGGCACGTAGGATAAACATTTCAGAAACTACAAACATGTCCAAACTTACTCTTGCTGTTAGCTGTTCATTTACTAGACCTTTACTTACCTCCATAAACTGAACAATGAAGTCTATGAGCTTATGCTTGTGCATGTCCTCACAGTGGTAGTTTGTTATGAGGAAGCTAATATCATAACCCTGAAACAAAAGAAAACCAAGTTAGTCATTTTCCAATGGTGTCCTTGGATAAAATGCTGTACACTAACATTCCGGCAAGTACCAAGACAAATTTGATCCACATGGCTAATAAATCGTTGCGAAAACATCATCAAGATGGAAAACTTCAGGCAACATAGAGACTACTATTTAGTTGTCCTATTGCTGATATCAAGTTTTTCAATTTGATACTTGAAATTTCCAGTTTCACCACTTGATCCAAGTCTAACTGCTGATCAAACTAAATTCCTAAAATGTGTATACCTCTTAACTTTCAGAGCGAATCGAGTAATTAATTAGAAAAAGGCAGTTATGTGTAATCCCCTAGTATCAAGTAGTCCTGCTGGCCCAACTTCAGTTGAATAAAGTTTGTGTACTACTACGAGTAGTCGATTGCTAGAGGTACAGAAGTAATGCATGCACACCGTATTGTAATACCTGAACTGGTTTTCTCCTCAACACTTGGAATGCCTCTGCCCTCATCGACAAAAACCTAAGAAACTTCTTTGCAAGAATATTTTCCAGTTCATCTGCCTGCTTAACCTGTCAAATAAGAAAACAAGTATATGATGGCATACTGGATCACAAATGATTGAGCCACAATGTTTTTAAAAGAACTATCATAATATCCACCAGCTATTGTTCACTACCTTCAAGCTTATACGGATCGAATTGATTGAAGTCTCTACCAAACACTTCTCGGCTTCATTACGACATATAAGCACCTGTAAGAGGAAATCCTTAATTATGAATCACCATTCTGAAAAAACTGTTTTTTATTTCATGTTCATCTCCAGAAAAGCATAGTCACAAAGAGATGGTACAGACTACATATGCAAGATATCACCAATTGATTCAGTAGGTTTCAGCAGTGTTAAACAATATGGTTTTCATTAGACTTCTGCTTTATCGCATATGCTCTGTGTCATCCATTTCAGAGTTTTGCAAATACTCCCTCCGTCCCGAATTACTTGTCGCAGAAATGGATGTATATAAAACTAAAAATGCGTCTAGATACGTCCATCTCTGCGACAAGTAATTCAGGACGGAAGGAGTAGCACATATCAATTTCACATAGGGAACTTTAATAATACATTCAATAACTTTTGCTATGCCGAGTTATTTAATTATAGGCAAGTGTTCTCAAACGCAATAAATAATTACAGGCAAGTATTCTAGAACACAATAACAATATTCGATCCTCTAATATGATACACATGTACATAAATCAGAAATTCTAGCATGTCGAGTTCACAGCCATTTGAATAGTACAAAATTGAGAAAGTGTGATTTTTCCAGTTTAGTACTATCGTATAAGCATCTTGTTTATATCTTGATTTAGGTACCTAATTGGCATCAGTGCTGGCCTATGTTACTTGTCATCACCTAGCCAAAGACCAGGTCATATAAAGGGAGCATTGGAAATTTCATGATAGGGCAGGATGAAAGATGAAAGAACATCCACTGCCCTGTGAGGCTGAATTTTGCTTGCCTAAGAACAACGTTAACTAAAGTACTAAGAACAATGTGTTCGTGATTTCCAGCATAGTCTAATGAAGAGTGTATCTGTTAGAAGTTTAAAATGACACGCAATTACAATATACTTCTTGGGCAGGTGTCTGCAGCTATATTCTTCTCACTTCAATATACAGTAAAGAAATTTTAGCTCCAAACTGAGAATAAGTGTTGCCATTCTGAGGAATGAACAATACTGGTGCATATGAAACATTACAGAGAGGCATTTAAAACATTTTTTTGGCACTACCGTCTAATCACCACAAGATTCTGCAGTTGGGATTTTTTTTTTTGCTGTAAAATCCGTATGAGAAAAGGAGAACACATGGATAAAAATCAAATTCATATATAGAAGGGAATTACTCTCATAAGATTTTCTTAGCAACACCAAAGAATCGATATCTGAAATCTCCCTTACCGGATTCAGCAGAAGTTCAGAGCTAGTCCTGTAAAAGGAATTAAAAAAGATGATGTCAGCAAAACATGATTTACTCGCATCCATGAACTTAGGGAGGGGAGGTGTAAACAAAAAGGGAACATGGGCACATGTGAATGCCATCGCAAGGATACAATGGCATATAAACTATCAAAGGAAGCCAGAGATAGTGCCACTATTGTTGTCAAGAAAACACCGATACTTCAAGCAACCAACGTATCCGTATCGGATACCATATCCGATACTGATTCTTTCACCATACGTCCCCAATACCTCTCAGGCTCTAGTAGTGCCGGTGGTTCCTGGTGCTCCCGCTCCCCTTTCCCCACTATCCTGTAGAATGCTGATTTTCTCCTGCTCCTCCCTTTCTCTCTAATTGAACTTTTATGTTTGGTAAATTGCGGCTACCCTTTGGCTGCTGGTTCTTGCTTTTGTTGGAATCATGGATAAAGGTACTCCCCTAAATATATGCTAAATGGTTTGATGCTTAATTGATAACGTATTTTTTTCCAAAATAGTCAACCGTATCCTGGTATTGGCGCTTTTCCCTTTCAGAGCTGATGTATTTAAGTATCTGTATGGCGCTCATACTGGTACGCGTAACCGTATCGGTGCAATCTAGATTGTTGTCTTTGAAATTTACATCCTACGAATAAACTGGAGACATCTCCAGTTTGTTTCTAGTACTAGGTTTTCACACACAAATGCACACACGAAAAATAGAAGCGGAAGGCCGTTCTATTTGCAGGAGAAAAAGGTTGCCTCGACTTTCATCTATAATACGCAGAATCTTGTACTGGTCTGAACCGAATCACTTAGAGAAAGAAGCAACACAAGCACGTACAAGCTCTGAATAAAGGGTGTCCAGGTGAAAGAATTGGCTTACTTGAGCTCCACCTCCGGCTTGTTGTGCCTCTCGACCTCTTGGCAAGGGAAATTCTAGAGGCACAAGGAACAAGCACGCGCGACATTAATTTTCTCTCTGAGCAAATCAAGAAACTGCCGAGCGGAATGGCGATCCTGGAGCTGGTGCGTACCTGCAGGCACATGGCCGCCTCCAGAGTGTTGCGGATGCAGGTGAGGTACAGGCGCAGCGTGTTGGCCTGCGGAGACACGAGAACCCATTTGAACGGAGTCGCGGGAAGGGGAGGATCCGCCGGCGGCGGTGCGCGGGGAAGGGGAAGGGAAGGATCTAGAGAGGGAGGGGAGGGGAACGGACTCACCATGGCTACGGAGGGTCGCCGCCCGCGTGGATCGGTCGAGGGGGAGAGAAGGGATCTGGTGGATCGGGGGCGCGGGGTGGCCGCCGGTTGCCGGAGTTCGTGGGGGAGAGAGGGGAAGGCGCCGGCGTCGGAGGCGACTGGCTGGTGGAGGTGTGCTTCGGTACTGTTCGTGGGCCTGGGCCGTGTCCACTGTACAGGCTGGCGTGCTCTGGTGTGCGCAGCGACCAGAAGCCAAATCAGGAGAGTAAAGATCACTATGATTCTAAAAAATTAAAATAAAATGCAAATGTCATCCCACCTTCTTAGGTAGGTTTTGAAAAGTGACATGCGTCCAAAAGTCGGACTGTTTTCATTGTTAGATTCCTCGTGTCGAGATCTTTAAAACTAGATTTCATGTTGATAGATTTTGACGAACTTTTCTTTTTAAAAAAAAGGACGAAAAAACCGAACCGAAAGCATGTTTCTTTTCTTTACGGAAGAGGTACGACTATGCCTCTCGCGGAAGTAAATCCATGCTTCCGCGAGAACTAAATATGTGCCTCTCATAGAATAAAAAAAAAGAAAACATTTTTTTTTGGTTTCGAGAGAGACTACTATGTTTCTTGTGGAAGCAAATTCATACCTCTCGCGTGACGAAAAAAGAGATATTTTTTCCGGTTTCAAGAGGCATGAATGTGCCTCTTAACGTTGTTTTCCCTAGTTTTCAAGAGGCACGATTGTGCCTCTCGTGAAAGCAAATCCGTGTTCTTTGTGATATTTTTTTCCCGTTTTCAAGAGGCACGGATGTGCCTATCATGAAAGGAAAAAAAAGAAAGAAAACATGTTTTTTCGCATAATTTTTTGGTCCAAAACTAAGAAAAACTGGAGGGAAACCAAAAAGCAGAAAGAACCAAAAAATCATCTAAAAAGCCGAAAACGCGTGTGAAAAAATAAAAAAATAAATAAAATTCGAAGGTAGCGCAAATAGAGCGACACGTGACGACGGCTGAAAGCGTGCCACTTGGCACTCTCATCCCACCCGAGGTGACCCTTGTGGGTCCCCTGAAGGAGTACTTTGTTAGTTGCTCGCGGCGAGAAGGGAAAAAGGACGCCCCTATATCTGAGCTCCTATTTGGCGCGTGAGGCCATGGCAAACAATGCCAGCGCACCACCTCTCCTCCCGTGGGCCCCTATTGGACCGGCATATGAGCAAGGCTTTATGCCGTAGTTTTTCTATTTCTTCTTTTAGCTTTTTGATTTTTCCTTCTCTGAAATAATTCCAAATTTCAAACAATTTCCATATTTCAAAAAAGAGAACTTTCGAAATATGTTCCATAAAAAAAAGATGTTCATAGTATAAAGAATGAACATGATTTTGAAAAAAAATGTCACGCATTGAAAAAAATTCGTGAATTCCAAAAATATTCATTAATTTTACAAAAACTTTCACTGATTCAAAAAATGTTCACCGATTCAAAAGTTGCTTTCCAAAATCTGCGTGTTGATGGACAAAATTTAAATCAATGAACATTTTTCTTAATCTGATGAACACATTTTGAATTCGAGAACATTATTAAAATTCAATGAACATTTCTTGAATATGTTGAACATTTTTCAAAAATTCATGAACATTTTTTGATATGATGAATTGTTTTTTAGTCCGATGAACAAATTTGAATTTTACTTTTTTTGAATATGTTGAACATATTATAAAAGTTTCATGAACATTTTTAAAATATGATGACCAAATTTTGATTGCGATAAACAAAAATTGAATGCTTTCCTAAAACCGAAAAGGAGCAAATATGGGTCGGCCCACTTGTTCGCACGGGGGAGCATGGGCATTCGCGTGTTCCCGCTCGCGCGTGACCTATGCACTAGGAGAACCCATCTTCATCAAGTTGATCTTCCGACTCGCTGAAGGGGCGAGCGAGATGGGCACCCCCGCGCGCCGCAGTCCGAAGCTTTTTTTTGTTTTTGGTTTATTTTTGAATTTTGTTTATAATTTAAAATATTCTAAATATATATTACAAAAAACACTCAACAAAAAACTTTTGAAAATGTTGAACAAGTATTTAAAAATATTGATGAAGCATTCAGAAAAATGTTGAACATGTGTAGAAAAAATGTTGATCGTGTATTAAAAATGAATTTCTTTACCGTGTATATAAAAATGTTAATCATGCATTTTGAATAAAATGTCGAATAGATATTCAAAAAATGATAATAAAGCATTTGGAAAAAGTTATATGTGTCTGGCTTCGCGTACATGGCAACTGTTGGGGAACGTAGCAGAAATTCAAAATTTTCCTACGCGTCACCAAGATCTATCTATGGAGAAACCAGCTACGAGTAGAAGGAGAGTGCATCTACATACCCTTGTAGATCGCTAAGCGGAAGCGTTCAAGTGAACGGGGTTGATGGAGTCGTACTCGTCGTGATTCAAATCACCGATGATCAAGTGCCGAACGGACGGCACCTCCGCGTTCAACACACGTACAGCCCGGTGACGTCTCCCACGCCTTGACCCAGCAAGGAGAGAGGGAGAGGTTGAGGAAGACTCCATCCAACAGCAGCACAACGGCGTGGTGGTGGTGGAGGAGCGTGGCAATCCCGCAGGGCTTCGCCAAGCACCATGGGAGAGGAGGAGTAGGGAGAGAGGTAGGGCTGCACCAAGAGGGAGAGAACTCATGTGTATGGCAGCCCCAAACCTCATCTATATATAGGGGGAAGGGGGGGCTGCGCCCCCTTTAGGGTTTCCCACCCCCAAGGGGTGCGGCCAGCCCTAGATGGCAAAGGGGGTGGCGGCCAAGCGGGGAGAGGAGAGGGAGGCGCACCAATATGGGCCTTAAGGCCCATCTGGACTAGGGTTTGCCCCCTCCCACTCTCCCTTGCGCCTTGGCCCCCTTGTGGGGGGCGCACCAGCCCTCCTAGGGGCTGGTCCCCTCCCACACTTGGCCCACACAACCTTCTGGGGCAGGTGGCCCCACTTGGTGGACCCCCGGGACCCTCCCGGTGGTCCCGGTACAATACCGATATCGCCCGAAACTTTTCCGGTGACCAAAACATGACTTCCCATATATAAATCTTTACCTCTGGACCATTCCAGAACTCCTCGTGACGTCCGGGATCTCATCCGGGACTCCGAACAACATTCGGTAACCACATACAAGCTTCCTTTATAACCCTAGCGTCATCGAACCTTAAGTGTGTAGACCCTACGGGTTCGGGAGACATGTAGACATGACCGAGACGTTCTCCGGTCAATAACCAACAGCGGGATCTGGATACCCATGATGGCTCCCACATGTTCCACGATGATCTCATCGGATGAACCACGATGTCAAGGACTTAATCAATCCCGTATTCAATTCCCTTTGTCTATCGGTATGTTACTTGCCCGAGATTCGATCGTCGGTATCCAATACCTTGTTCAATCTCGTTACCGGCAAGTCACTTTACTCGTTCCGTAACACATCATCCCATGATCAACTCCTTGGTCACATTACGCATATGATGATGTCCTACCGAGTGGGCCCAGAGATACCTCTCCGTTTACACGGAGTGACAAATCCCAGTCTCGATCCGCATAAAACAATAGATACTTTCGGAGATACCTGTAGTGCACCTTTATAGTCACCCAGTTACGTTGTGACGTTTGATACACCCAAAGCACTCCTACGGTATCCAGGAGTTACACGCTCTCATGGTCGAAGGAAGAGATACTTGACATTGGCAAAGCTCTAGCAAATGAACTACACGATCTTTTGTGCTAGGCTTAGGATTGGGTCTTGTCCATCACATCATTCTCCTAATGATGTGATCCCGTTATCAACGACATCCAATGTCCATAGCCAGGAAACCATGACTATCTGTTGATCACAACGAGCTAGTCAACTAGAGGCTCACTAGGGACATATTGTGGTCTATGTATTCACACGTGTATTACGATTTCCGGATAATACAGTTATAGCATGAATAAAAGACAATTATCATGAACAAAGAAATATAATAATAACTTATTTATTATTGCCTCTAGGGCATATTTCCAACAGTCTCCCACTTGCACTAGAGTCAATAATCCAGTTCACATCGCCATGTGATTAACACTCACAGGTCACATCGCCATGTGACTAATACCCAAGAGTTTACTAGAGTCAGTAGTCTAGTTCACATCATTATGTGATTAACACTCAATGAGTTTTATGTTTGATCATGTTGCTTGTGAGAGAGGTTTTAGTCAACGGGTCTGAACCTTTCAGATCCGTGTGTGCTTTACAAATCTCTATGTCATCTCCTAGATGCAGCTACCACGCTCTATTTGGAGCTATTCCAAATAACTGTTCTACTTGGAGCTATTCTAAATTATTGCTCCATTATATGTATCCGGTCTCTCTACTCAGAGCTATCCGGATAGGTGTCAAGCTTGCATCGACATAACCCTTTACGACGAACTCTTTTACCACCTCCATAATCGAGAAAATTCCTTAGTCCACTAGTTACTAAGGATAACTTTGACCGCTGTCCTGTGATCCATTCTTGGATCACTCTTGTACCCCTTGACTAACTCATGGCAAGGCACACTTCAGGTGCGGTACACAGCATAGCATACTGTAGAGCCTACGTCTTAAGCATAGGGGACGACCTTCGTCCTTTCTCTCTATTCTGCCGTGGTCGAGCTTTAAGTCTTAACTTCGTACCTTACAACTCAGGCAAGAACTCCTTCTTTGACTGGTCCATCTTGAACACCTTCAAGATCATGTCAAGGTATGTGCTCATTTGAAAGTATTATCAAGCATTTTGATCTATCCTTATAGATCTTGATGCTCAATGTTCAAGTAGCTCAATCCAGGCTTTCCATTGAAAAACACCTTTCAAATAACCCTATATGCTTTCTAGAAATTCTACATCATTTCTGATCAACAATATGTCAACAACATATACTCATCAGAAATTCTATAGTGCTCCCACTCACTTCTTTGGAAATACAAGTTTCTCATAAACTTTGTACAAACCCAAAATCT